GTGTGTGTGTGTGTGTGTGTGTGTGTGTGTGTGTACATGGTTTTGCTACTTGGTGGGGACGATTTTTGACCATTATCCTGGTACACACAGCCTAGTGAGGACCCACTGTTCCTAAAGGGGACAAAAGCCTGGTCCCCATTGGGGGAAATACCATTGGTGGGTCAGGGGTTTGGTTGGGAACAAGGTGTCAATTGAATTTAGGTTAGGTTTAGGGTCAGGTACCTGTGAGGTTAGGTTTAGAGTCAGGTATGTACCTGTGAGGTTAGGTTTAGGATCAGGTACAGTATGTACCTGTGAGGTTAGGTTTAGAGTCAGGTATGTACCTGTGAGGTTAGGTTTCAGGGTTCAAGGTCAGGCTGTGGAAATGACAAGTAAATGAGAACTGTGTGTGTACTTGGCTTTTGTTACCTTTTTAGGTTTTTATGGTTTAGTCACCTACCTTTATAGGGGCCAATTCCCATCTTAATACAGTGGWACAGTATTTCCGGGTTAGGTTTTTAGGTGAAGGGTCAGGATTAGGCTACAGTAATGAATAGAAGCCAACACAAGGTCCTAATAAGGATAGAACTGCTAACGTGTGTGAGCAACATGTTTCATTAAAACAGCCCATATAAATAAATCTTGGCAGAGCTGTCTCTATGAATGATCCAATCTAATTTAACCAAATGGGAGTGTGGAGAAATACAAGCAMTAATATTTATAATTTACCACCAACATTTTCCAGTGAACTATATCTGACAGCAGGCGATTATTAGTAATAATTAATTAACAAAAAGGACTTTAAAAAACACAATTCATGTGTGATTTGACTATCCTGTACTTTCTGTCCAGCATTTCACTTTGACCTGTAAAAACCTGAGGGGCAGGTGTGACAGCGTGGGTGGTGAAGGAGGGGCTGTATTGGATTTTMTAGGACTCTGATACACAAACAGAACTATATCATGTTATTGTCAGCTTCAAATCCGTTGAGCTAGATTTTCAGGACCTTCCATTCTGTTTTTTGTTTTGTTTAAACAGTAACAGTTTATTTAAAGAGTTAAAGTTAGCAAATATTTTTTAACATTTATACACATGTTCATAAAAATAGTATTAGCAGGGATTGAATGAATGAAACCATTTGTCCATTTTTGCCAGGACATGGAAATATTGTGTCTTTATAATCCTTTTACATAAAAATAATTGTGCTCCACATATTTGACTGTGACTGTGATGTAATACAAACACAGTTTGGTTGACAAAACAGTGACAAAGTAAGTAAGTATTGTAATTCACTGGCTGAAAAGTTKTATTTTTGCTATTATAGCATTATTTTACACACCACCAGGACATTTTTAAGCAAATGTTTTATTTGCAAAAATACCTTYTTTACCATTAACCTGATGTGGAGAAGGATGACTATTTTCTCATTTTACAGACTCCATTTTTTATGACCATGGCTGGTAACGTACAGATTATTTGAAATTATTTTGCAAAACATCCCTTCAAAACTGAGAAGACTAGGCCTTCAAAGGCTTGGTTATAGTCAWGCTTTGGTCACTCACACAGGGCATGCACGCACCCTCACCAGAAGTGTAGGTGTTTATATTTCACTGTTATACTGCACTAGTTTGTAGTACCGTAGTATTCTCCAAACGGACATGTTGCAGTACACTTTATAAYTTGTGAAAATGTTGTAAGTGCGAGAGCAAAGGCTCGACAGACAAACAAACTACAGTATTTGAATGGTGTATGACGCGTGCAGCCTTTGCAGAGTTACAAAAATTCGGAGGTGATTTGAATATTCATTAATATTATCTAGATTATTCGTATCAGCTAAATGTACCAAACAAGAAATCCTGAATTTATCCATACAAGTCATGGATCATAATAAAATTAATTAACTGTGAGGCTCTTTAAAAATAGTAATTTGTTTTTATTTACAAATATTACATAGTTTTAAATAGAAAGTGAAAGCAGAAATACATCTGTACAATAAAACACAAAGAAATCTACAGACAACAGGTTTGYGAGAATATGTGAGACAGTTGACTTCATACTCTCCAGCATGGCAATACATGGTACACTACAGTACTTAGTGAACAATCAACYCCGAAACCTGAGAAGTGATGTACAATTACAGTACATTGTTGCATTACATCATGCATGTGCATAAACTAAACTTCATTATTTTAAAACTGAGTTGCTTTAACATCATCTGAGTCCTCTTCTGTTGACATGGCCGGGTTATCGTACATCTCCAGATTTTTCCTGCTGCTTCCGGTGATCTTTTCCTCCTCATCGCGTTTATTGCAACAGTTGCTGCATCTGCAGCAGCAGCAGCAGTGTCTGCTGCAAAACAGCATGGAAGAGGTGACAACCTTGTCCCACGGTGCCATGGAGTGCAGGGGTCGGGGCAGAAAGTCCCAGCTGCGCAGGACCTTAGGAAGGTAGTGCGGGCATTTAGACTGCATCACGTTGGTGACGATCACAAAGATAGCCAGCACTGCGATAGGCACGCCAACGCCGACCAGGACTTGCCAGCCAGCCAGAGACAAGCCAAATACAGTCAGCGGGAGAACAAGGAAACACAGGAAAAGGTAGAGGGCAGCAAACCAGCGGTATTTGGCTGTTTTATTCCCCAGACCTCTGGCCAGTCTGATGGGCAACCGTGTGAAGGGGAATGGATACCAAAGAATGATGCCCATGATGTTGAAGAAGAAGTGACAAAGTGCAATCTAAAAAATAAAAAGAAACAAACAGTTCAGATCCAGAGTATGTCTGGTTGACCTTAGAGCCTGAACAGTTAGATGCTAACATGTTGTTGCCCCACCATATTACTGCAACATTACTTTTTTAAACAAATGTTTTTAATAGGGTTGGGAGTATCTAAGCATTGATAGTATCATACCAAGTTGAATATTAGTGTACAATCAATACTAATTTGATGAAATTGATCTTTTTTGTTTACGCTTTATTTGTACTACTGACTTTAGTTTTCAAAAACAAAGTGAAAAATTAAGTCAGTAGTGCAGTGACCAAATTATTTGGAGTAAGTGCTCTTCATTATGTCAGCGTGCTATGGAAGGTATTTTTGTCGTGTTGTTCAGATCATTATTTTTTTTTCTTGTTATATTTTGGTTGTTGTTTTGTTATTTAGCATTAGATACGTTTTATCTTAAACAACTGTGTGTAGTAGAAGGTATTATTTTTGTTAAATCTTTGTCCTATTTAAAAGAAAAAAAATCACAAAATTACTTGATGAACAAGACAAATATTGGTATCGGAACCTGCGTTACTAGCCCTAGCCCTTTACTTGTTATAAATGGAAATGGTAAATGGACTGTACTTGTRTAGCACCTTTCTATCCAACCCGAATACTCAAAGCTCTTCACAYTACAATCTGTGTCCTCATTTACCCATCCACACACACATTCATTCAGCACTCTACTAAATCCGGGGAGGCTAAATCAATATAGAGACTAATCAGTGATTTAAATCACATGTATACACTGATGGGAATGGTTCAATGTCTTGCCCAGGGACACTTTAACATGTGTCAGAATAGCAGGGAATCGAACCACCAACTACCTTAACCACAGTCACCATAAAATCTGATCAATACCAAAATTCCAAGGATCACCCACCCCTGGTTTTAAAACAAATGTAAAGTAACACTAATTGATGGGACATGTATTAAATTTACTTAAGATATTGGTTTAAATTTTTTTTCTAGAAAAGATTGAGGACTTTGCAATGTTTTAAAAATGTTTTGCTACCTGATTTAATGTTTTATTGAACTATTGTTAAGGATGAATGTATCCTCATAACAAAATGTTTTACTATTTATCCTCGATGTGTCMGATTTGGCATGCTTTGTGGATGGACCCAAGGTGCAGAGGGAGGCCTCTGTAGTAGGTCTTCTGGACGGATTCTTCTTTAATGAAACATTTCATCTCTCCTCCAAGAGACCTTCAGTCTTAGAAGGTTCAGGTGAACTCAGCTTTATAAGCTCCGCCTCCACATGGTGGACAAACAGGTCAGTCACATGCAAAAGAGGACCATCAGCCAAACAACAGGTCGCTAGTGCCTTGATTGACTCTATTGTTCATAGAGGGTCATCATGTGCCCCATCATCTGACTGTCGTTGGGGCCCTGATTCAAACCTTTTATTCACAGGGGGCTGAGTCATTCTTGCAATAACAAGTACAAGTACAACTTGTTTTCTTTTTGATTTTTCTACCTGGATTACTGCATCCTACTGCATACTGCTTGCATCAGGACATCTCAAAAACACTTTCTTTTATAACTAGAAAAACAAAATGCTGACACGGCAGCAAACAGAAAAGACTAATTGAAATAGACTCACCAGGGACAACCAGAACGGGACATATAAAACACAAATGCACAGATTACAGAGGACAGAAGTCAGTTAATGCCAGACTGAGGAACACAATAAGACTAATAAAGCTAAAACTAATGAGGGAGATTCAGAATCACCTGGGGAGAGGGGGATCAGGTTATAATGGGCGGGGCAGTAGCATGAGCAGGAGAACACAATCAAGTAAACACAAGTGATTGACCTCAAAGACCCCAAAATACAGAAAACTAAATTCAAATAAAGCTGATCCAGGAACACAAAGAAGAATCAAATTACACCAATCTTGACTTGGAGTGTAAACATTGGTCTAAATTGGTGAAAACCTTTAAGACATTTTACCTGCAGGGAGTTGGCTAGTGTATCTCCGGGACTAGCCATAGCAGCAAGTATGGCTGTGGTTGTTGTTCCGATGTTGGACCCCAGTGTAAGAGGATAGGCCCGCTCTAGACTAATGACACCAATACCTTGTGGAAGGAAAAAATATATATACCGTATACAGTATATACATTAAGGTGCAAATTTAAAAAGAAACCAAATGATAAGAAAACAGTATAACATTAATGACTGACCAACAAGAGGTGTTATAGCTGAGGTGAAGACGGAGCTACTCTGAACGATAAATGTCATTCCTGCTCCGACTAAAATWGCAATGTAGCCAGTAACCCAAGCAAAAGGGAAGGGGAAGTCTGTAATCAAATAAACACATAGGAAGTAGGCATCAAACATGGTAAAAAGAGCAAAAACACAATACTCCAAAAGGCTAAACCAGGAGAAGAGCCAGAAGCTACAGGAAGGCTGTGTGTGGCATCACAATGGAAAAAAAGATGTGCTGACACTGACGGATACTTTTGGAGATGTTGTTTTGTAGCTCTGTACCTGTGTTGAGCACTTTCTTGATGACCAAAGCCACCTGTCCCTTCAGCATGGAGTTGAGCAGCTTGACAATGAGGATGAGGCAGGTGCAGAGAACGAGCAGAGACAGAGCCAGGAGAATGAGGCCTACGGCTAAATCTGGCAGATTAGCGTCGACAAAGAGATGTTTGCCTGCAAAGGATGAGAATGGAACATCAGCTCTGTGTGACGTGTGAAAAAAGATTCAAGTGCACATATTCTGAGTGCTAACAAAATGATTTACATCCTAGTTTAAAAATTTAGCACTGGCTATTTGGTATCAACTCTTACTGTGTCTAAGTTCAGGACTTGGAGCCTATGAAGACCAGGTAGGCTAGGTATACCAATTGTTAATGGTCTAGTCTTTGGATGACGTATATTTGCAAAATCAGGCACTACCACATCACCACATCACCCATAAATGCCCAAAACTTAAAATGTGTAATCACATCTTTTCATTAGAGGTATAACTTCGGCAGCACGATAGCTCAGTTAGCACCGAAGAAAATCCTGGGTTCAATCCCCGGTTCAGACCTGAGGCCTTTCTGTGCAGACTTTGCATATTCTTTTCGTGCTTGCGTGGGTTTTCTCCAGGTACTTCGATATCCCCCACCCCTAAACACATAGGCTGCCTTCAGGCCCAGGCCTCCCTTGAAAAAGAGATCTGCGATCTCAACAGGACTTGCCTGGTTAAATTAAAATAAAATAAAATAAAA